AAAAAAAAAAAAAAGAAGGCTCCTCAGCCATCAGTGCTTCCATATTCTGGCCAGGGGTTTTTTAATTTATGATCTTTCAATCCCCACAATTCTGCAAAATTGATATTGTCATCTCCACTTAATCAGGGAGGAATGGAGGCTTAGAAGTCCAATGACTTATTGAGGTCATAGCAATGAACAAGTGTCAAAGGCCGGCTTTACATTCACCGCACCACACTGCCATTTCAGTCTTGACCAAGATGGCCCATTCTTTCCAACTCCTTCCTATCCTTCAAGTTCAACTTCACAGCACTTCTGTAGCTTTCAGCCTTTCAGGAAGGCTTTGTTGGTGGACACAACAATTATTTGGCCCGTCTTTTCTCCTCGGTGGGCCTCAGTCTCCTCATTTGTAAAATGGACTGCTTGGGGGTGGTATTGTTGGGCCAATCAAGCCTGAAAGCTGTGGCTGGACATGGAAGGGGGCACTTCTAGGGGGTTGAGGGTTCCCCAGCACTGGTTGATGGCAGATTCCTCTACAAGTTCATCCTCCCGGTCTTACTTCATATAAAGTATTTTTTGCTTTGCCTCTTTTTCTTTCCAAAAAAAGAATCACTTGTTTTGTTTTGTTTTTTTTAATTTCTGCATAGAAGATCTGGGGTACAGGCCAGAGGTGTGTGGGCAGGGGTGAGAGAATTCACCAGAGATAAGAATAGGGAGTAGAACAGGTGGATTTATTGATACACCACTGAGGAGAGCAGCAGGCGGAGATGGTCTGCTGCACCATGTGGGTCAGCTCGTTGGGCAGGGGTTGAACTCAGACAGTACTAGCTATAGCTCTTAGACTTAGCCCCTAGACTACCAAGGAGGGCCCCCAAGACTGACTTGTTTCATAGTTTCCCTAGCTGACTTCACCTCCTTTTTTATCTGGATGACGTATGTCATCTGTTAGAAAGACAGAATTCCGAGCCCCACCTCAGACCTACTGAGTCAGAACAAGATCACATTTCGACAAGACCTCTGTTATTCCTGTGCACATGAAAATTTGAGAAGCCCGACTCTGGGCTTCATTGCAGGCCATTTCCCACAGAACTCGTCTGTTGTCTCCAAGCAGGTGTGATCGCAGAGCTGCTTTTACTGTGCACCAGCTGTGTATCAGCCATGGTACCAGTCCTTTAACAGCATTATCTTATGTCCTCTTTCCAACCTGCCAGTGAAATGGATGCTGTTATCAATCTCATTTCCAGGAAGAAAACTGGCAAGCAGAGAGAATGAGTCATAGGCTAAGGCCTTGTGTTTCTAATGCCAGTGATCTTCCAGGATAATGCCAACTGTAGTCATTTATAAGCTCTGTGTGTCACTCTGGCCAATTCACTTTGTAGCTTAGTAATGATGCATGTCGTTCTAAATGTCGTCTTCTTTTTTAATCCTTAGGGAGCACAAGAGTAAAATAAGATCAACTTAATCTAGTAAAAAAGTTCCCACAGCAGAATAAAATTTCCTTTGCCCTACCTCAGGGCCTTTGCTCCTGCCCTTCTCTTCAGCTTGGAGAACCTTTCCCACCCTTTGTCCTTGACTGGATCCTTGTCAATGTCCAGACTGGCCCGGATATCAATTTCCCATTGTTAATTGTGCCACCCCTCCCACACCCCTCTCACAGCAAGGTCACAATTTATAATTCTTGACCCAATAGCAGCCACCTGTTCCCACTTGGAGTCCACTTCTCCGCTACTTTATAGTGGCAAGGAATTCAGGAAAGTTCAGACATAATAAAACTTGCTAAAAACCCTATTTCGGCATCTCTTTCCCCTTCAGGTCCACTCATCCTAAAAAGGCCTCCACCTTGCCTCCCGTGTTCCCACTGCCTCTTTCTCCCTCAACCAGACTCTCAACCAGACTCTCAGCCAGACTCTGTCCTTTATCCAGCCTGATTTTTGACATAAGGTAATTTTGATGCTCACCCCCTCCTACCACTAGAATTTCCCCCGGCACCTCAACAGCCCTTTGGGGTGCCCACAGGCCGCCAGGTGCCTTCTTCAGAGGCTATGAAAAGTCACAGTTTAATACTTCTGAACATGCCAAGTGAATATTTATTTGCTTACTTATTTCTGATTATCTGTCTCCCCTCACTGCCCTTTAAGTACCTATGTTCACTATTAAGTCACAAAGCAGAGAGGGAGGGTAAATGAACAATTAACAACCCAAGGCTGATGCCCACTTCCTCTTGAGTTACATTTTGAAGCAAATTCATAACTGTTTTCTACATAAATGTCTATGCAGATCTCTGTAAGTGGAACCCCTTAAAAACACAACCCAGGGCCTCCCTCGTGGTACAGCACTATTGAGCTATTGCCAGTCACTGCTTCCTGAGTTCAATCCCCAGCCAAGGAGCTGATCCACATGGCATAGTGTTGGAGATGGCCCCAATTATAGGCTGTCAGAGGGCAGGGCATTTAGGTGGGAGCAGAGTCCAGCGAGTGGAGATTCCTAGAAAGGGGGAAGGGGAGCGGGCACCAGGAAGACACAGGAGTCGGAGTTGGGTGTAAGTCTTCCTGCTCATTTTTTTTTGCAGGTCTTTGTTTATACTGTTTAGCAAGAGTTAGGTACAATAATGCATCAGGTAAGTTAATAAGAAATCAACATCAAAGTTCTAAAGGAAGAGGGAAACAATGCATCCTCTTCCTGACACTTTATGGCATACTAAACTATATATCTTTGTGATTCCTTTCATGTATACAGATGTTTAACTATGACGTCAAAGGATAAGGGGTTTGGGAAAAGATGAGCTGTTAGTAAGGGATTTAGGAGTCCTAGGGAAGGAATAAATTGTGTTAACAGACTCATCAGTGATAGTCTAAAGAAAAGCTAATGGCTAACTTAAGGCTAGCAGAGAGTAGCTAGTGTTTGTTTTAAGAAAAGGTCAATTAAGACTAGAAGAGACTAGTTATTGATTGCTTAAGAAAAGGGTAAATTAAGAGGAAGCCATATAGTTATGCATTAAGCAAAACCTGTGTCAATAATGTTAGGAAATTGTCCATGGGTCCTTATGCCCTAGGAGTTTTATCTAAGATTTGCTTTTTGTTCAAAAGACCAAAGAAGCTTCCCAGGAGTTTCGATGCTGTATATAACACATTTAGTTTCTTCTCCCCGTTCTGTAGTAGCATGCTACACACAATTTTTCCACCTTACCTTTTTTTTTTTTTTTTGCATTGCTAAGCTTACTGAGATACATCACATACAAGACAATTCACCTATTTAAGCGTTCAATGTTTTTTTACTGGTCAGTATGTTTATCAGTGTTCCATGGTGTTACTATTGTTTTTAGTATTATGTGATCATCACTAAATTTTAGAACATTTTCATTGCCCAAAAAGAGAAATCCCATACCATGAGCTCTCCCTCCCCCTCCACCATCTACCCCACAGTTCAAGGGAACCACTAATCTATTTTCTGTCTCTACAGCTTTACCAATTCTGGATGCCCTCCTTGCTTTATTCACGTTACAGTCCACCCTAGCGATCTCTTATGCAATTGTATGTCTGTCAAGATACCCTTCCTTCTTTTTGCAGTCTCAGAATGCTCCATTATGAGGCTTCTTCAAACAGTCTAGTCCTTCTGATGGACGTGGGCCTGTTTCCAGACTTTTGCTATCACAATAGTTTCAGTGAACAACCTTAAGCATGTATTGATGGGTAGTTTGGGTTTTTTTTAAAGATTTTATTTATTTATGCATACAGAACTGGAGACCAAGCCAGAGGTGCAGGGGCTGTGAGAGGACTCACTAGAGACAGAGTAGGGAACAGAACAGGCCGACTGACTGAAATACACTGCTGAGGGGAGCAGCTGGTGGTTCAGGAAAGATCTGCTTTGCCAAACATCACCTCCAGGGCTGGAGATGAAACCTGCTCAAGTGAATGCAGCTAGCTTGCAGCACTGTCCACTACCCCTGTGAGCCACCAGGGAGGGCATGTTTGGTATTTTTTTTTAAATGAATAATGTAATAGTTTGTTTTTACATCTTTTTGTGGTGGGTCAAAGGGCAAACAAATGCGCGTTAATTTTACTAGCTATTACCTATTCCCCTCCATAGGGGCTATTTACATTTACACGTGGCATGGCTGAGAAAGCCTGTATGCTCCAGCCTTCCCAACAGAACAGGCTGTCAAACCTGGATTCTGGCCAGTATGATAGCTAAGAAATGATAACCCAATGTAAGTTTAATTTGCATTTCTATCATCACAAGCAAAGCTGGTATTCTTCTGCTATGTTTCATAACCACTTTCATTTTCTTCCTAGGGACAATCCTTTTTTATCCACCTCGTTCTTTGTGACTACTGTCTTAAGAGAATGTTAAAACAATTATTATTTCTTGTCTTATTAATAATGTTTGCTCATTACCAAAGAAAAATGTTCTTGTCTTATTAATAATGTTTGCTCATTACCAAGGAAAAAAATACCCATAATTCATCTCCCCAACGATGCCCCTGGAACCACTTGCTAGCCCCTTCTAACAGAAGAAAACAGATGCACACACAGGGGTGAAATAACTGCTGGTTGGTGCCAGCACTGGGAACCAGAGGTTGCACTGGAGGCCCCTGCTTAGAACAGCTGGGGGGAGGGAGAGGGGGAAGAAGGTCCTGGCCAAGTGAGGTAGGGGTGGCCAGTGGCAGCAACTGGAGAGGGGCCCTTATGAGAGTGAGAAGGAGCACCCCTCTGGAGAACTGCCCACTGTTAGGTCCCAGATCAGGCTACCCTAAGGTGCACTAAAGTGGCATATTGATTTTGAATTTTAAAACAAGTTGATAAATGAATGAGATCCTAAAACTCTCTTTTTTCTAAAAGCAGCAATTTTCTTTGACCCTCCTCCTTCTAGTCCCCTCTGAAAGCAGGAAATAAATCTATGTAAACGGATCCCCTCCCTCTCCAGAGATAGAAAGACGCCCTTATCCTCAGAGGCAGGGGTGGGAAGCTGTGTAAACAAGCTCTGCTTAGCTCACTAAATTAACTGCTCCAAGAATGTCTTCATCCTCTTCACAGGTTTATTACTTCTTAGTCTGAAAGCTATATAAACTAGGTCTGTGGTCATCAGTAAATTCCATATTTTATGGATCTCCAGGCTCACAAATTAAATTTGTCTCTTTTCTTGCTCAGCTTGCTCCTGTTACTTTATTATTGGGCCCGTCAAAGGAATCAAAGGAGGTGACTGAGAGACCCCCTGAAAATATTCCCAACATCACCCGAAAGGACATGAGTGAGGGTTGCAGCAAGAGGATAGGGCTAGAGCTGAGCTCCACTTCAGTTTTGGGGACCTAATCATGTCCTCCAGGACAGGTGTCTCTCCATCTCTTTAGAAGGAATAGGTCTGGGTTGTCCGTATATTAAGAAGGAGGGAACACTCCATTGGAGGACCCGGATGGGCAAGAGCAGGTGAGCTTAGGCTTTGCAGCTCTAACTAGAAACTCCAGAGGGAATAGGCGGGACAGGTTTGGCCTGACTTGCAGTTCTGCTTTTCCACAC